ACAGGCCAGATCCTCAGCATTATTGAAGTTTATTTGACTTCAGTGGCACTATACAGTTTGAATACCAGTTTAATCATTCATAGCTTTCAAACCACTTAACTTTACATTAACTTATTAGGAAGATTTACAAAAACAAGATTGAAGGTCTACCATCAGCCATTCATGACATGCAAATTCAGAATATAGGGTAAAAAAATATTCAATTCTTTTTTTTAAAAATCTAAGATCGTAACCCAAATTGTTAATTTTTTCCAAGCAAAATTAGATATTAAAAAAAAAATACCACAGCCTGTAAGTCATGATGCAGGACACATTCATTGAATGCTAGAAGATTTATCTGGTGTTGCTCAGGTCCTTAACTTAATTTTGTGGTGTTTTTTTTGGGGGGGGGGAATAAAATGAAAATGTACATGCTTTATTTAAATCATTACTCTGGAGGGGGGTTGGGGATGAGGGGTTCAGTTTGCAAGCTACCCTAGGGACATGATGCAGGACACATTTATTAAATGCTAGAAGATTTATCTGGTGTTGCTCAGGTCCTTAACTTAATTTTGTGGTGTTTTTTTTTGGGGGGGGGGAATAAAATGAAAATGTACATGCTTTATTTAAATCATTACTCTGGAGGGGGGTTGGGGATGAGGGGTTCAGTTTGCAAGCTACCCTAGGGAAAAAGGACCACCTCAGCTCTCTTTCACTGTAGCAGCTTGGAGCCAGGGGGAGGGGAGCATATCCCCTGGCTGGGGCAGGTCCAGGTTCATCTGCTCCCAGCCAAATTGAGGAATGCAGCAAACTGTGCACTTCCCCTCACTCTGAAATGGAACAGTTAGCAATGTTCCTGTACAAATGATGGGGAGGGCTTCAGCCTTTCCCCAGTCTCCTGCCCAGTCTAAAGGGCACGTACCGGAGTGTAAGGCTCAAGGCTGGGACAGTCCCGGATGGGGAGGGTTGCACCCCCCAGACAGCTTTTCTCACCTACCTGATGATTCTGTCTCTCTTCTGTGTGGTTTTATGAAAAGCAATCCCATTCCAGGCACATCCTGTGTTCCTGGCACAACCAAACTCTTACCTTGCTTTGTTATGATAAAAGGAACCTGTATACCAAATTCTGTGGTCCTAGCTCTTACTGTTTAGCTCTTGAACAGACAAACTCACTCAAATATATACTAGATTTGACTTACTGCTTTTCTTTTGAAACACACTAGTTAGTTGTGGTAATAGATCTTATTGGACCAGTTTCTGTTGGTGGCTTGTTCCTTCCCCCAACAGAAGTTGGTGCAATAAAAGATTTACCTACCTTCTCTCGTTTTATATCCTTGTGCCTCATACCATGGCTACAGTGCCATTTTTCTCTTCATACTTCGTTTTAGTGAATGGTCCAATTTGTTTTCTTTTAGTAGCCTAAAAATTCTGCAATATAGACATAAATTAATATTACCTGTCCTCCTGCCCTAATTGCAGTAATTCCTTAGCAGTGATAAAACTGTTTGTTAATAAATACTTCTATATTGCTTTTAATAGCTGTCTTTAATGCAATGTGCATTTTGTCCTATTTTTAAAACAAATGTTAAACACACAACCTACTTTTGTCCTTTTTTATCTTTACCTCTAACTATTTCTTCAGATGGAAACTAGGTACACTAATATCATATGACTTACAAATGTCCATAAATCACAGCTGAAAAACTGCTGGCTGGTATAATGTGATGTTATATCAAAATGAATTTGGGATGACCACATTACCTTGGAGTGGCAGCCAACTGAAACCAAATACAGTAAAACTCCCAAGTGTCCAGCATCCAGTGGTCTGGCACTCCCGATAGTCCGGCACCAACTAGAACCCGAAAGTGCTTCGGCCAGCCGGACAATTGGAGCTGCTCTGCACCGCTTCCCCAAGTCCACTACTGCCGCTCCTGAAACTGGCAAGCAGCGGACTTGAGGAAGCTGCAGAGCAGAGCAGCTGGGGTGCTGCCGGCACCGAGCAGGGGGGTGAGGGGCAGTGCTGCGGGACCAAGCTGGCAACACCCCGGCTGCTCTGCCCACCCTTCCCCAAATCCGCCGCTGGTCAGTTTCAGCAGCGGCGGGCTTGGGGAAGCTGTGGGGCAGAGCAGCTGGGGTGCTGCCGGCACCGAGCAGGGGGGTGAGGGGCAGTGCTGCGGGACCAAGCTGGCAACACCCCGGCTGCTCTGCCCACCCTTCCCCAAATCCGCCGCTGGTCAGTTTCAGCAGCGGCGGGCTTGGGGAAGCTGTGGGGCAGAGCAGCTGGGGTGCTGCCTGGTTGGTCCCGCAGTGCTCCTCAGGTTGGCCCCATGGCTGCCGGGTTGGGGTGCTGCCAGGTTGGCCCCATGCTGCGCCGTTTCCTGCCCGACTTCCTCCCTCTCCCCTCCCCATTTACCCCCTCCGTTACCCCCTCCAGACCTGTCACAGCCCCCCTGCCAGAATACTTCCTGGTACTCCGGCATATCCGATAATCCGGCATCCTCTGGGTCCCAAAGGTGCCAGATTATCGGAGGTCTGCTGTACTAATAAATGCTTTCACACCCTAGGTAGTTTATTATTTATGCTGCAGGGCATGGGAAAACTATTTATAAAAAAAAAAAATAAACCATTTTAAAAATGATTAATGGACAGTATCTTGTGGCCTGCCTTGTCTGCTTATAAAAATTACTATTCTATTTTCCCCTATAGAAAAATACTTTATTACAGAGAGGGGGAGAGAGAGAGAAAATAACTTGATGTATTAAGACCTTTCATTTTGAAGGCAGTTCAGAGGTTTTTTTGCCTTACCTTAAATCGGAGAGTGGCAACCAGGAATGGTGGGTGGGCCATGTGAGTGGCCTTCTTCACCTCAGTGGGCCAGAGTAGCTCTCTGGGGTTCTACCTGCAGCCCTGTGTCCTTCCTGTCTGCTGCCCCTCCCCAACACGCCTCTCGTGCATTGGGGCATCGGAGCCTCACACTTATCTGCTTTTCTCCCTCCCTTCCTCCCTCCCTCCCAGCACTTTTGGAGCATGGCATTCTAGCTCTGGGAGTGGGAGGAGCAGAGACAAAGTACAAATCAGAGGTGATTTGCTGCTCCTCTGAAAGTGCTGGGGGGTGGAAGCAGGAAGTGTGGGGCTTCATGGCCCCAGTGCACGAGAGCACGTGGGGGAGCAACTTGTGAGTCTGCAGGCCACAGGTGGAGCCCCAGGGGACCGCATGCGGCGTGTGGGCCACCAGTTGCCCACCACTGCCTTAAATACAGCAGAAAAAGATTGCTTTCATTTATTAAGAAACAATAGTCTGATTTTAAAATTTATCTTCCAAAAATGAAATTGTCTTTTTTTCTTCCCCAAACTACTTTTTCATAGTCACCTTTCCCTGGAGATGATGAAGAAGAGGTTTTTGACAGTATTGTAAATGATGAAGTAAGATATCCACGGTTTCTTTCTACAGAAGCCATCTCTATAATGAGGAGGGTAAGTTTCTAGCAATCAGTGACATTTTCATGTTTTTGTTGTGTAATTATTCTGTTCCCTATGAAGAGGGGAATTTAAGGTCCTGTATTACATTTGATATTGTTTTAATCAAATTGGTTTCAGAACTGCTTCACTAATGGTTTGTTGTTTTTGTTTTTGTTTGGTTTTGTTTAAATCAACATCACCATTTTGGTCTAACATGAAACTTTAATTGTTTGATTATTTACATTATCTAATTAGTAAAAAAAAATTCCTTCAAAATCTGATTTTCATTCATTAAAACTTCTTACATTACATTTGTATATTTAAACTTTTTGTTCTCTTGATATTGACCCATTCTTTTTCCATCTGTATCTAGGTAGGAAATTCTTCAGGTTCCTTTTGTAACAAAACACCTTCCCAGTGACTCAAACGGTAGCTGAATACTACCTACCACATGAGTAGTCTATGATGAGACTTTGGGATTTTCACACATCATTTAGTCAGAGGGTTGGAAATCCACATTACATCTAAAGCAGGGGTGGGTAAAATATGGCCCCTCCCAAGCTGTCGGATGTGGTCTGTGGGAGCCTGTGTCAGGTTCATTGTTTTCCCCACCCCACTGCATTGCTCAGAGCAACTCTTTTCGTTATGAACCCGGGGGGGGAGGGGGAGAAACCTGGCTGAGGAACCCATGTAAGCACCTCCTGATCAGAGCCTGCCAGGTTATGAACCCGGGGGGGGGAGAGAAACCTGGCTGAGGAACCCATGTAAGCACCTCCTGATCAGAGCCTGCCTTTGACACCTCAGTCCTTCCATTCCCCCGATCCTCTGCCCCCTATTCTATGTAACCCATACCCTCTGCAGCCCTGCTCCTGCAACCATACCCCCTCCCAGACCTTGTGCCCCCTCCTACATTCCTCCTCCAGGTGACAAAACCCGCTCAGATTTTCCACCCCAATCTCTTATCCCCAGTCATAATCTTCTCCTTCACCCAAACTCAGTGTGCTTTCTAATAGTATAAGAACTCTGGCTAGAAACACCTTAAGAAAAACCCCACTGCAGTGGCAGTGTCCACATGGAACAGACAGGACATTACTTATCATTCAGAAAATGAACTAAATGAACTCTGCTGTTCTCAAATTAATGTCAGAAAACAGATTCCAGTAGTCTGACTAAAGCAGGGGTGGACAATAATTTTTGATGGGGGGGGTTCATTCCAAGAATTTGGAAAGTAATCAAGGGATGCACTCTTCTATGATACTAATGGAGGAGGTGCGGGGGTCTGGGATGGGGGTTGGGTGCAGAAGGGAGGTTGCAGTAAGGAAGGGAGTTTGGGTGAAGGAGGCAGTTGTGACCTGGGGCACTGGACTGGAGTGCAGGGAGTTGGATTGTGACCTAGGGCAGAGAATTGGGGTGCAGGGATTTGAGTTGAGCTAGGGTAGGAGGGGACTGACTTGGGGCATGGGATGGGTGCCATATCTGGGTGGGGAGAGAGATGAGTGCAGGAGGATTTCGGCATGTGGATTGAGGGGACCAGAGGCAGGCTCTAGCCAGGAGCCTTACCAGCCAGCAACCTGTGCCTGAATCAGCCTCCCTGCCAGCCATTGTTCCCTCTGAGCAGTGCAGCAGCTCAGCTTGACTGGGTGTGGCTGATTAATCACCTGTGCTGCTGTGCAGCTTAGCGGGAACACTGCTGCCTGCCCCGCCCCGCCCCAGCACAGGCTGCAGCCCTGTGCTCTGGGGAGCCCCTTGTGCTTTGACTTGGCTGGTTTCTGGCCAGAAACCAGCCAATGGGATTGTGCTGGGGGTGGAAGCAGCTCCTAAAGCTTTTTCCCCCCCTCCCCTTGGGGGACACAGTTTTTAAAGAAAAACCGCCCTGCAGCCACGTTTGAGCTACATGTGGGTGGGGTGAGGCAAATGGGGAGCCTGCCTGGGGCTCCCCACAGCATCCACAGGCCATATTTTGCCCGGGCCTGGACTAGATAGAGCCTGCTACAGTTTGAAACTTGAGATTGCATTGTTTTGTGTTTCAAACAGCCTAGGTCATTAGATCACCCCCTCCCCCCTCATGAACTGGGTTATTTAATTTATCTTCCTTCTGAAATGCTGAAGTATTTCACTCTTTGGGGGGATGGTACAGAAAATAACTTTGCTTACAAATAGTTAATCTTGAAGCTGAAGGAAAGAAATTCTGTACAGCAAATGAAAAGCAACTGTCACTTATCTGTTGAAATGTCATTACTGAGCTTTGTTCTTTTAAATGTTACACTTGAAACATTTTAAGTGCTGGATATAGGGTTGCCAGATGGTTTAACAAAAAATACCGAAACACTACCCCCCCCCCCAAAAAACGGAAAAAATTCTGTTGAGAGGAAAAAAAGGGGGAGACCAAAGTTGTTAAACAAAAAAAGGTGCTGCGCCTTTAAATGTGCTCCTCACGCCCCTGCCCCCACCAGATGTGGCAGAGGAAAATTGTCCTTGCCGGGCTTCCATCCGAGGGAAACAGGAAATACCAGACACCTGGCAACCCTAGGTGGATAAAGCATACTGTCAAGAGTCACTAAACCTAAAACTATTGCCATCTATATTTAAATCTTTTCCAAATATATCTAAATGGGGTCATTTTAAATGTAGTAATCTCATATTAAGAGTAAAGGAAGACTGCACTATGTGAAATGGCATTACAAAATCTTTCAAGCTAAAGTTGGGTACTTCATTCCTTCTGTCTAAACTAGACGGTGCTTTTTCCAGGAGCCTTTGATACTCTCCTGCAATACTAGAACAATAAAATACATCAAAGCCGTTTCCAATGCTTCATAGACTTTAAAGCCAGGAAGGACCATTGTGATAATTTAGTCTGACCTCCCACATAACACACAGGCCATAGAATTTCTCCTAAGACTTCCTGTGTCAAGCTCAGTAACTTCTAGTTGAACTAGTGCATATATTCAGGTATTTCCAAAAGCAAATGGAGAATCTAGCATTTTCCTTTGTAATTTTTCAAATGGCCAATTACTTTTGCTACTTAAAAAAATTGTTCCTTATTTCAAATTTTGAATTTATGTAGCTTTTGTTCCAGAGGATAGACAGTAGAAAGGCACCGAGCCCCCCGGTATTTCAACAATAATCAAATTACGTCTTCACCGTTTCTTGGATAAAAGTTAGAGGTTCTTTCAGGATGGGAAATCTTTGGGTCAGGGGCCACTGACCCACAGAACAATCAGTCAGGGGCCAACACAAGTGAGGGAAAAACAAACCCAACTGAGGAGGACACACACACTCGAACTTATTTTTTTAAATGTACAAGAGCTCTAGAGGGCTTGTACATTTAATAAAACCAGAAGCGCCTGCAGTAGGAATGGTGAGAGGGGGACTGAAGCAGTTCCCACTCATGCCATTTCCCTGCTGGGGGGACTTAACATTATGAAATGAAACCAGCTTACAACCAGTTCCCACCAGCACTGGCTCCTGCTTCCCACCCCCCATGCCTCTTTCTGATAGGCATTTGCTTATCACAGTGGTCACCAACCAGTAGATCAGGAACTGCTAGTAGATCTTGGAGCCTCTGACAGGTGATCCTGACTGGTTTGGCTGGGAAGCTTTCAAGCACTGGCACTTCAGTTGACCCTCCACACACTGTCATGCTGCTCCTGCTCTGTCCTAGAGCTGCACCCCCGGGAGCTTCCTGCTTGCTGTGCAGAGTGTGGGGTGGGGAGAGCACTGATGTCTGGGTGTCCTTCCTCCCCTCACTCCTGTATCCTACACAGAACAAAGGGGATGGAGGGAGCTTGGCAATGCAAATCTGTCATTCTTCTACACTATGGCTATGTCTACACTTGCGAGATCTTGCGCCAGAAATATGCAAATGAGGCTAAGCGTGGAATATTGCTGAGCCTCATTTGCATATCTAATGAGCTGCCATTTTGTGGAAGAGGCTCTTGCACCAGAAGGCGCGTCTACACTGCCCCTTCTTGCACAAAAAAACCCCTCTTGCGCAATGCCTTTACGCTGATTATTTTCAGGAATAACGGCATTGCGCAAGAGGGTTTTTCTTGCACAAGAAGGGGCAGTGTAGACGCTCCTTCTGGCGCAAGAGTCTCTTCTATATGCAAGTGAGGCTTGGCGATAGTCCACGCTTAGCCTCATTTGCATATTTCTGGTGCAATTTCTTGCCAGTGTAGTCATAGCCACAGTGTGTCTGTCATTCTCTCACAAACACACTGGCTACGTCTACACTGGCCCCTTTTCCAAAAGGGGCATGTTAATTTCACAGGTCGTAATAGGGAAATCTGCGGGGGATTTAAATATCCCCCGCGGCATTTAAATAAAAATGTCCGCCGCTTTTTTCTGGCTTTTAGAAGTAGGAATAAGATCCTCCGGAAAAGGGCTTTTTTCCGGAGGATCGGGGCCAGTGTAGACGTTCTTTTCCGGCTTTTCTAAAAGCCGGAAAAAAGCGGCGGACATTTTTATTTAAATGCCGCGGGGGATATTTAAATCCCCCGCGGATTTCCCTATTACGACCTGTCAAATTAACATGCCCCTTTTGGAAAAGGGGCCAGTGTAGACGTAGCCACTCTGTCCTTTTTCCTCATCTCCTAACCCAGCGTACATTGTGTGTGTATGGGGGAAGGGGGGAGTTGTTGTTACTTTTACTGCTTGCAAAGTGGGTAATTTGGGTTTTGACTAGTCTGTGCATTTCATAATTTTCATCTTACACTTAATTCTTTGAATAGTGAGGTCTAAAATGTCTAACCTAGGGGTTCCCAAACTTTTTGACACGGGGGCCAGTAAATCCATTCACGAGCTTTTGGAGGACCAGTAACATTCATATGCGTATTCATTAAGCAAATGATGAATATTCAAATAAGTTGTTTCTGGTCCTCCCAAAGCCCCCAGTGCCAGTGTTAGCAAAGCTTTTGATATGGTCACCCACAATATTCTTGCCAGCAAGTTAAGGGAATATGGATTGGACAAATGAACTGTAAGATGGATAGAAAGCTGGCTAGATCTGGGTTTCC